AGTTTTAGAAATCAAAACAAGTAGGTTCACCACAACAATTTTGCAATCATAAACAGCTTCAACGAATTTAAAGAAAACTTGTGGGTAGTTTTATTGCCGTACTCATATGGGCACTAATCACGATGTCACATTTCGAAAATTTTACCACAGACAAACGAAGACGAACGCGACGCGAAGCTTATAACTATGGTCGAAATGTATAGCATAAAAATTTGATTTTATAAACTACAAATAATAACTTGTTAAAGAGGAAAAAACCGCATTAAAGTGTTGTTGTGAGTTGTTACGGGTATTATACAGGTTTATTCGAACGTCTCTAATAACGTAACGATATTCCTATAAATAAAACAAACAACATTTCTTGTGTCTTTTAAATAGTGGGGTCTTATAGTCCGAACTAGTTGATCATTAGATATACATAACCCTTAATATAAGTTTATTGGAATAAAAATTATGTTATGTGATTAAATGATATGATGCATTAAGCTCTATAAATGTTATTACAAAGCCATAAGACGCTCTAAGCTCATAAAGAACATGCGTTTTCAAAGCGTAGCTAACAATAATTTACTTTATATCTTCACTTCTTTGTTGTAAAGTTTAATTGTAAATTATTTTCTTATAAAAACGGTTTCAACGTATCAATTCGTAAAAATATATAAAATGTATGTAATGAATATTGTTTTGTTCGTTGATTTATTTAGTAGCGCCACCTGAGAGAAATCTATAAAAGTGTCAAGTATGTTATGAGTTTTTTATTATATTTTATAATAATTGCTTTACCGGAGTACAGTCGATAACCTAAGATACCTGAACCCCTAGCCGATCGTTCTGAGAGTCTTGTTACGGCCTCGACCTGTTAAGATACCGACTGCAGTGAGAAGGTTGTTCAAAAACTAGATGTCACTAGCGGTAAAGAATGCCGAAAGCCAGTACAAAGGTCTTTAACAAAAACACATAGGAGAATTAATCCGACTCGGTAACTGGACCTGTAGCTCAGTTGGTAAAAGAGCAATGTTACGGTGGAGCATGCACGTGAGTTCACGTTCCATCGGATCGAAGACATTTTTCTATGTATTCGATCTTTGTATTAACTGAAAAGTGTAAAATAATTCTAAGTTTAAGGTTAAAATTTGTATTCTGTAATGAAGTATACGATAAAGATGAAATTGGCTTAAAATGATCTGATTAGAGATGAAACGGATAGTGATTTGGCCGGATACCGGATATCCGGCGAGCACCGTGGCCGGATAGCCGGATAGCCGGATAGCCGGCCGACGGATATCTGACTCACTGCCGTAAACATGTCGCGACCGGTTTACAGCGCGCAACGCCGTGGTTGATTGATTGCACTTTCACATTGACAATTTTATTTGATGTGATCACTTGGTTTTTAGAAAAACCGATTAATTTATTCGATAATAGAAACAAATACATAACAGGAAAATGTTAACAGTGAAAATAATCACAAATTTGGCAATACTTTAATGTAAGTGCCGAATGCAAATTTCTCGCGATAGAGAAGGAAAAAGCAATTACATCATCCTTTGGCTATACTAAAATTTTTAGTTGTTATAAGTGTAAGCCTAGCACTTGTTATTGTTTTGTTTCAATTTGATTTCATTAATTTGCTTATGATCTAACTAATTCTAAGCCTTGTAACCAGATTTGCCTAAAAAAATATATTAATCTACTGACTACTTAGAAGGTGCACATTGTATTTGGAGATAGTTCAAATCGATCGTGATTGCGACCCTTTCATTTGATCCTCTGGCAATAACAAGTAGTACTTAAAATTTAACAAAATGTGCAAGAGCTTATAGTGAAACACTATCCGCTGAAGCTGGTGTCGTTTATGAAAAATAAATAAAACCAACTTTTACTTACCACTTAATGCAGAAAAACTGGATTTCGTCCCCCATAATTTACCTTTATTGAAATTTTCGTTCTAAGTTTACAGATAACGTTATCTAACTTCATAGTTATTTCAGTTACAAGTAATAAACAGATAGTCAACGATCCTAGTTACTGTCATTATTACTATCATTTTTAATCAATAAATCAATTTATTTGGCATAAATTATGAATTTTTCTCAGTTTTAAACATCCGGTGTACGGCCAGATATTGTTCTACTAGCCGGATAGACCGGATGCCAGATAGTTACCGGATATCCGTTTCGTCTCTAGTTCTGATGCAACAAGAAAGCCATAACAAAATTAATTTTACGACTCAAAGGTTAAGTTTAAGTTTAACAATAAAATTTGTCTACTCAAAATAAAATGGTTGGTTAGGGGTTCAGATACTCGTATCTTAGGGCATTGAGTGTACCATCTACCTGTTATAAAATATCAAAATTTTGTAAAACAAGCTGAAAATGTAAGGAACTGGCAAGGACCCAATAGTAATGGGCATGTACTAACACGTAATTGCACCGACTTTATTAATCTGTCCTATTTAGTTGTCTTTTTTTTAACCGCCTTCAAAAAAGGAGGAGGTTCTCAATTCGACTGTATGTTTTTTTTTCTGTATATATGTTACGCGGTAACTCCGCCATTTTTGAACCGATTTTGATGATCCTTTTTTTGTTGGAAAGAGGGTACCTCAGAAGTGGTAATTTAAATTTGAAGATTATATTGGTGTACTTCTAAGAGTGGTAAACTAGGGGATGAATGACTTTTGAGGTCGGTTTTTTTTACTTTGTACTGGGTTAGGTTATTATTTTTTGATCTTTAACTTTGAACAAAATGTACTTCAACAGAAATGTCTAATTTCATTTTTTAGAATCACACCAAGTCTGCGGCCAGTAGCATATTGTCAAGGTCTAAAGAGCGGTAATGGTGAGGACTATGATTTCTTATGGAAACGTATGGCGACCACTAACGTCGCTAATGAAGCACGTATCATTAGTGATGCTCTTAGCTGTACTACTAATGAAGACAAATTGAAGCAGTAAGTATAATGAAACACAGATTCGCAAAATAATTAAACACGCGTAAGACGACCAGTAGGGCTAGCACGACAGGGCGTGACTTGCGCGGAGACAAGACAACAGTTTGTCGCGTTTTATATCGCTCCGACTTGATATCGCTGTTCTCTATGCGAGAGTAACAGTTTGTCCCGCTTTATGTCGCTCTCGCGTAAGTTGCACACTATCGTGCTAGCCTTTCAGTGTTACGCAACGCGAATAATTTCGTCTGCCTTTCAAACAGCGAATTCGAGTTTGATTTTCGGCAGGGCCCTTCAATTGCTTTTCTTAGAAAACAATTGGAAGCTACATATAATTCAAAACTCGCTGGGTCGTCATAGCGGGTCTTAATAACGTCTCCATGTAAGATGAAATATATATAACGAGTATTCAGTAACACATGGGTTCATAAAATATTGTGTATTTACTTGAAAAGATGTAAATAAACTGAAAATACTTTCAGATAATTCAATTGCTTTAAAATTGATAATTCCATTTCAGATTCCTAGTGTCAATGAATGACACAGAAAGTCCGATTAGGACTCAAGATCGCGATGTTCCACTCAGCGGTGTTCTCAGTCATTTTGAGAACGTAGAATTGGTTCTTGAGGAACTAAAGGACAATTTTGACAGTTGGAGTTTAATGTACGTAATATTTTCATAAACACGCATATTTAACGGCTATTGTTGAAATACAGCCTGTCTTAATATAATTTTTTATTTTTGTTAAGTTATATTTTCTAATTTTTATTATAGGTATCCATCTATGAACTCACCGCTCACCACAATTGCATCTGCTTTACGTACTGAAGCTCAATTGACTGAAGTAAGTATTAATGTATTGAATAAAAAGAAATTAACACTAGTATTTAACTTTCATATATGGAATCAGCATAAATTCCAATTACTTATTGCATTCATTTTCTTCCAATAACTTCTAGGTAGGCAATATATAATTTTATTATTTAATTAATCTTCTCGACCTCGACATCGATGTTTACTGTGGGCGTTGCATGAGAAGGTCCCAGGTTAGATTCTCGGTAGGATCGATTTTTGGAACAAACTTTTCTTAATTGGTTCTAATCTGGGTATTCCGAATACTGCCCCAGAGTGAATTCCGATGTAATTAATATTCGCAGAAAGCCCATTGACAAAAGTCCTCGATCCACGCCATTAGGGCTTTGTACCAAGCCTGACTATTTGATTTCGGACATTAGGATCAGGTAATTAGTTCACATAAGATGAATTAATTATGTGAGATGATAGTTCAGGGAATAGTAGTGAGATTCGCGGAAAGAGATTTGAGGAAAGAGGAGTGAGTCTTTCGAGCTGGAGGACAAACGACTTGAAAAGTGTGATCGAAAGTTGCGATAGTCAAAGTCAAAGTCAAAGTCAAAGATTATTTATTCCATAGGTAAAATAAATTTACACTTGAAAACGTCACATTTAAGCTACTGCTCGTTCACTACGCTGACCTCCCTGAGAAGAACGAGCAAGAAACTCTAGGGATTGCTCTTTTCAAATAAACTTAAATGCTATGGAATACACTTTGAATCAAATTTGTGTGGATTCTGGAGCCATGTCGTCTTTCCATACATCTTTATCTAACACGTAGTCTTCAATTTTGTAATATGATTTTTCGATCAAAATATTTTTAATGTAGTTTTTAAACTTAGGAAATGATAAACTTAGTATATGCTCCGGAATCTTATTGTAACAACGTTTACAGTTCCCCATAAAAGAGTTGTTTACCTTGGTTAAACGAAATCGTGGTACCATGAGTTTGGACTTAGCTCTAAGGTTAATATTATGGATATCTTCTTTCTTATTGAAATTATGTATATTTTTACGGGCATAGAAATAATACAATCTGGGAAAGCCTATGTCTTCAGTAGACTCGGTACTAAAATCTTGAAACGAAACTTAGTGTTTAATGTCTTTCGAAAATACGTATTTTTCAAAATGAATTGAGATATTTGTACAGCAATACAATTTCATTTCTATGCCCATTGCAATTAAAATAAAAGTCACCTTCTTACAGAATAGGTGTAAGGTAATAATAATGACGCACACACTCATAGCCCCGCACTAGGGAAACTCTGTATCGCGGGTGCCATGGACACACACATAGGTAGACAACCACAAATTACACCCAAACTCACGAGAGAATTAAATGTAGGCCATACAAATATTTCTCCCAGCTCGCGATCGAACCCGGGACCTCTGACTGGCAGTCCAGCACGGTAACCGTTCGGCCACGGAGGCAATAATATAAATATGGAGTTGGCGTGGTTCCAAATGAATGCTGCTTGGAGATAAATCTTTAATTAAATGATACAGAATTAAGATATTTGCCTAGACTCGCCTTGACTACGCTGTAAATTATATATATAAACAGCTATCAACATCATAACGCGAGTCAAAACAATGAAATAGACTCAATTGGTGAATAAACCGTACACAATGTCGCCTTTTTATTTCAAGAAGATCGTTAGTATAGCCAATGTCTATAGACGGCGTGACGGCTACTTTCCATGTAGACAGGTTGACTGTTTACCAAATGGTGTACCTAAATAAAATGCTATATTTTCCTATTGCATGAATTTTGCATTGTTCTGTATTATTATAATTTATTGAGTATTTGTAAGGGTTTGTTCATGTTAATCTATATAAGAAGGTATAATATCAGGTCTTATGTAACTACAGTCTGTTTAAAAGATATTTTTAATCAACTTCAAAAAAGGAGGCGGTTGTTAATTCTACGTATTTTTTGTGTGTGTTACACGACTACTCCGACATTTGAGAACCGATTTCGATTATTCTTTATTTGTCGGAAAGGGGATACTTCAGTAGTGGGTAGTAGTAGCATTCAATATGAATTTGAAGCAAATATTTCACCTAATTCACCGATTTCAATATAACATGGCAAATAGATGTAATTCCACAAATTTTTGAGATCGATGAGATAATAAGTTATTATTATTATTGTACAATTAGTTTTATTTGCCCTGAATGGATTGACAAGCTTTCTGCCGTCCACTGACCAAAACGCAGCTATGTGACAAATGCTCAAGCATCCATTTTAATAGCAAAAGATGGAGCACAAAATTCTCTTTCAAAAACAGTTAAAATTAATGAACATGTTCGACTTATCGGAACTTAACCTATCGATGCATAGCTGAAATATCATTAAACAATTTCAATATTGAAAACTGGGTTATTGTTTTTGTATGACATCTCAAAAAAATATTTTGTCACTTAGCCGCTATTTTGTCAGCGGACGGCAGCTTTGAGATAAGTTTTTGTCTTAACATTTTTGTTGTTTTCAGTTCGAGAAATGGCTGTCGTCTTGTAATAAGTGCTCAGCAGACGCTTTAAGTGCGGCGCGTGAGGGCCTATCAGGGTCTCGTAACGTTGTGTCCTGGGCATCCGATCACACTGACGATGTTGAATCTACTTTGAAAAATAACGTCGCATTGATAGCGCCGTCAATTAACTTACTTGCGCTTGCTTTCATTGTTGTAACTTTCTTCAAGTATTAGTTCACTTACACCCTCAACGATGTGTTCAATAAATGCACCTCGTTGGTATTGCCATCAACTTCTTGCTGGAGTCATTTCTTTTTTATTAATAACCTCGTTTTTAGATTATTTCATCAATAAATGTGTTTTATTTGTTTAGACATGGAGAAAAGCGCTTCTTGATTTTATAAAAAATGATTGACATTGTAAATGTAATTTTATTTATTACCTATTGAGTTATTGAAATCATTTTACTTATTCTATTTATGTTATGGTCACACGAGCTGAATTTCCATAGACAGCAATTTCAATAAACTCGGTAGGATTGTATCGCGACTGCACTCTAATTTTAAGGTTAAAATTCTACTCTATGCAACTTACAAATCGACTCATCCGAAGAACAAAGTCCGATGTGATTATATAGCGAAAAGAGAATAAGTACGTTGCGAGAATAATTTCGTTATTCAAACTAAAGCGTATGTAAAGGTGTTTGGAGAATTCACATATTTTATTTCGTTTCGGAAATATAGAATCGAACAACGGTCGATCTGACATCCACAGCGAAAAAGAACGAACGAAATGTACTATATCCTGAGAACGACTCTATACTAATAATCTCGCACATAGATCTTTGTTCTACGGATGAGTCGAAATGGTTTATAGTCCAAAGTGTAAGTTCGACGTGCCGTTGAGCCTGTATTTGTAGTCAATGGTTGTTATGCAGTTGCAATGTAGTTTTCGTGCTGTCGTATTGACTATCCAAACCAATTTCTAATCACAGAAATACAGATACAAAATATTTGCGGTGCAGCAGTAATGCAGCTTGTATGACTATGCACTTAGCTTGTAACGTAGGTGTTATTATTATTTAGTTTTGAATAATAAATTATTGTATATATGTTATTATATAGACTGATAGCGGACACTTTTGGTGTTTGTACAGTATAATATTCATAATATTCAAAACAATGAAAATCATATATTTATTAGACTTTAAGAAATCGTGCGAAGAGATCAGAATCCACTGTGAAGTAATTATTTTAGAACATGCCTATGTAATGTTGCTACTATAATAAAATATCATTGTTAGCTTTTGTTTTTCTTTAAAATGCGTATTTTTTAACCAAGTCATAAGAAAAGAAACAGAAAGCCGGGTACTCACTAACGAGCTGTAACTGTAAGGGCGCGTTCCCGTTATGACATCCCGATGTTACGACGGCAGACTGTCGTGACAAGGGGAAGAGCTAAAACGACAGTCGTCTGACGATAAATAAAACGTCACGATAAATCTGTCGTGCAAACGACAAGGCGGCTGCCGTGTAAAGATAAATTGTCGTCACGATATATTGAGAACAGCTAAACACGAAGAATCGTTCAACGATAAAATAAACGTCCACGAAACAGTCACAACAGATAGTCGTGGTATGGGGACAGGGTAGACGCGACTGTCGTCCAACGATAAACAAAACGTTACGACATAGGGAACGCGCCCTAACCGTTACATGTTGTTACAAAAAATCATAGTGTATACGTCGTTCGCGAACCGACGATAACCAGGTAATCATTCTAGTGAGTGAAGATTGTAATGAGTACAACTCGGTAATGAGTTCCAAGCTTAAGAGTTAAAGTTTCTACAAGAAATTCTTAAGTTGACGAGAAAACATAAAGTACACACTAGATGAGATCTTGACTGACTTTTTAATATTATTTTTAAAACCAAAACTATGCACGTAGGCGATCCTCTATTGTCCGAAGATGATAGTTGCGCCATGCCCACGCGCGTGTCCAATAGATGTCATATTTAACATAGTAAAGGGACCAGAGGAAACAACAATTTAAAACAAAAACAAACAGAAGATGCAAAGTAAGTAACAAATATCAATCTCCCACGTTACCAAAAAAAGTGCAAATTATGCAATTTTGTTATTCCACCCCTAGACTAATATATTATTACAATAATACCACCTACGCTGTAAAATTTGTGTGGATTATTTTGTTAAATCAATATATTGAAAGATATTTTTATTGAGTATAACAGTTTTAGAGAGAGTAGCATTGATTAATAAAAACATTAACAGTATCAATAATCAGCATCAATGTTATTTCATTGTGATGGTTCCTTTTCATGTAAATGTCACAACCACAGGTCCCGTTACACATTATTCAGTTGTAACCTACCACCTTGTGTGGGACGAAAGCGTTGTTGCAGCGTTATGATGACCAATTAAGACTTGAAATAGATTGACAATTTTGATACTGATGTAAATTATGTCGTCCGTGTGGCGACCTTCAAGCAATTGTGACCTAGAACCTTAGCCACGCCGACCACGTCACTAGTACGGCTACTAGTCATTACAATTTTTAATTGCCTCTGTGACCGAATGGTTACCAGCCGGAGCTGGGTGAAATATTTGTATAGCCTACACTTATTTCTATCATGAGTTTGGGTGTAAATGTACATTAATATTTTAAATTGTTTCTTAAAATTTGTAATTTACTTTATACAATTTAGTGTTTAAATAAATAAAAATAATTTGTGGTGTTTTATATCCATGGCAACCATGACACAGGGTTTCCCTAGAGCGGGGCTATTGATATGTACGTTATTTGTATTTTTACATTTTATTTATTATCGTATCGATGACACTGTACTATTGTAGCCCAGAACCCGCCACGCCGGCCACGTCGCTAGTAGCCGCCATTAAATCCTCAAGCGTGCAGGTGTTTAGAGCAGGCACAATGTGGGATGGGCTCTCGATTGTTGGCGTCCCAAGACCCTTTCTACAGAACGTCATCACTATACTAGAATCGTACGTGAAGCTATTGAAATTAAAAAAAACACCGTAATTTCAACCGAGAAGATGGTTTTAAGCTTTCATCGTCATGGGATCCAGTCATCAGCAAATGTAAACGACATCAAGGAGTCGCCGAATATCGTGAATGTTGTGTGTCGGTCTAGTGACAACCCTAAACCACAAATAAATAATGAAGACCAAGTGTAGGTACTTAGAAAAACTCGCAAGACTAGAAAACGTTGAGACCAGCTTCTTCAGACCCTTCGAGACCATGGACGTTGCAATACGTCCGAAACGTCGAAGTAATTAAAATATGTCTTATTAAGTCCCAAATTAGGAATCAAATAATTTATTTAATTTAATTGCAGCGCAAAAAAAGCTCATTCGCCAGGTCTGTACGAATCCCTAGAAAGACATGAAGTCCCCAGTCTACAAACGATTAGTTTGGCGGACCGTAAACCCTCTTCTTGGAGGAGACCTGTGACGAAGGCAATCAAAATAACAAATAATGTACATGTACAGAGTGTTAACAAAAAGGTCAGTGAGTTCGCTCATTAATATTAACTTTTATTACGAAATCCGTTAGAAATTCACCAGCCCTTGGGTTTTCCAATCGGGTCATTATAGTTTTGAATATAATCATGGGTGGAAAGAGCACTGGGCTTCCACGGACCTACAATTTAAATTTCGTGGAATGCGTATCAGGAATTAAGAGCAGAAATTGAGAAATCCTGGTATTTTTGAGTTTCTAATCTTTCCACCAGCGCTGCTATTTTATTCGTATTTGGACATAGGTACACAATGTAGCTATGAATCTGTTTTTGTTACACTTCATATTAGGTTATAAAATTAGTATGTCGTCAAAAATTTACGCGAAAGTTAAAATTATAAATTAATTTTTTTCTAAATTAATTTATAATTATATTATATTATTAATTATCTAAATTAATTTATAATTATATTAATTATAATTATATCTTTATTTATTTATTTAATCAGATAATTTATAATTTTAAATTTTGCATAAATTGTTGACGACGTATTTTTGACAACTTTGTCGTTACTTAGTTGATGTAGCGTCTGGCACGGTGAGCTAGAAGACATCGGTTCGAATCCGGCCGGATCGAAGGAATTTTTTCTGAGTTTTCGATCTTTGTAATATAATAACAAACTAGTTAAATAATTATAACAAACTAGTGGAGTTATTTCACAAAAAAATAATTGAATATCAATTCAATAAAAATTTAAAATTTTTTTGTTAAGAAAAACCGACTTCAACAGTTCATGGAATTACATCTATTTGCCAAGTTTTATTGAAATCGGCTACTAGAAATTGCGCGAAACCGATTTCATCCCGTAGTTTCACACCCTTGCAGGTGGAATATTTTCTTCAAATTTAAATATTGGGGACCATTACTGGAGTACCCTCGTTCCAAAAAAGAAGAATCATTAACATCGAGTCGGAGTAAGCACGTAACGTACATACAAAAAACACAGTCGAATTGAGGACCTCCCCTTTTTGAAGTTGGTTAAAAATGGCTTACATTTCTGTGTAAGCATTACCCACAAATTTGTAGTCAGATACGATATAAGAATATTTTTACTGACATTTTGTGTTTTTTGAATAAAGTGTGGTTGTATATTTTTTACATCAATCATCTTTCGCAAAAGAGATTGTATTATACGTACTGAGATAGCATATGTTTATCATTACAAACAGTCATATATCTGTGTATAATATGTTATGTGTACATATATCATAGATATATTTTAAAATAAATGATTACACATTAGCATTTGGCACAACGGGCCAGGCTGTACACTTCAGGTTTGTCTTTTTTGCATATTTTGATTAATCATTATTTATTATTCGTAGCGTATATTTAAGCATTAAATATCAGATTAATTTTGTGCTCCTATTGTTTGTAATATTTTTATTATCATCCTATACGTATTTAAGAGACAGGGTTTTGTCGATGCAGCCTCCTCCACTGCTCACTGTTCATAACCAGCTCCATGACCTCTTTACAGCTGCTCACGTAGACGTTTCTGTTTATTTGTGCACTGTACATCATTCCTAATCGTAAATACGTCGTAATACGTCTTCTCCTCTTTTTCTTTTTCGTTCTAACTTCCCCTCAATTATAACTTTTATAAATTCCTCACTGCGTAACACATGTGCAAAAATTTTTCTCATTCTGTGCCCTATTATCTTTAAAATATTTCTCTCTTCCCTAACCTTTTTCAAAATACTTTATTTTTTATAATACATAACAAATATTTAATAGACAATTAACTGCTTCCGTGGCCAAATGGTTACCATGCTGATCTGCCACGCAGAGGTCACGGGTTTTATTCTTATATTTATTTCTCTCGTGAGTTTACAATTTGTGGTTGTTTATGTGTCTACGGCACCCGCTATACAGGGTTTCCCCATGCTGTGTGCCTTTTTAAGGCCTTTTTAAGGGTTTTTTAAGGTGCAGTGTGTGCGTTAGAAAAAACTACACAAAAAATTACACAATTTCTACCTGGTCCTCAAGTGTGGTAATTTCCTGAATTGTACATTGTATCACAATAATAAAATTACTGTGAAATCCAAAACATTCATACCAAAACCCACTTAGAAAAATTGGTTTCCTAAACTGGCTCCATCAAGAATCAAACCCACGACTTCATCATAATGCGTCCGCTTGGCCACAGAGGTCGTGTTAAATTATTTAAAACAATTAATCGCCTTTAACAATAGCGCATTATTTCCTTTTTTTTAGTAAGCAATAACGTACAATGCTTTTTCGCGTTACCTTTCCAGTCATGCTGCACCAACTTCTCATCTTGACAATAGCCCTAACAGTAAATGCTGTCACCGATACAAATTACAGACTGAATACACCAATTGTCCCAACATCATACGCTATAACAATTACTCCATATTTCGATACTGGTAATAACGATGCTTTCACCTTTGATGGAGAAGTCACTATAAAATTCACCACGAACAATGTTACTAATCAGATCAAGTTACACTCTGAAGATTTAACTTACACAGCTTCAAATATCACTATCACTGCTGGTACTACAAACATACAACTAAATGCAGCAGAACCTCTTTCATTTGATGATAAATACACCTTTGCGTTCATAAATTTGCAAATAGACTTGCAACCCGGCACAGAATATACCCTGAATATTATGTACCGTGGACCAATCAGAGATGACCTTAACGGTTTCTACAGGAGTTACTACTTCGAAAATGGTGTGAAAAAGTAAGTAAAACTTTTATTGTTTTTTGTGCAAAAATAACTCTTAAAATTAAATATCTACTGTTCTAAATCATTATAGAAGTAAAGTTTGTTCTAAAGTTTAATTTCAAATTTCTTATAATGTCGAAGTGAAGCGACCGGATTGTTTGTTTCAAATATTATTCGGGTTGTATCTCAGCTTTAAGTAAAGGTTTGTCCAAAATAAAACTGTTTATTATGTAAAAGGGCAATGAAAGTGTAGTAAATATGTATTTTTTAAATAGTACTTTATCGAAATGTCATTGTGTAAAACTATAACGTTTTAACAGATAAGATGAATCTGTTGAAAATTTGATAATGGTACTAACCATGACAGTTGTAGATGTACTTCATAATATGTAGATAAGTAGAGATATAGCGACTATTGCTACACCAATATAAATGCAAGATAAAAGGTCTGTTGAATTGTCGTTAAGGCTTAAAAGAAGAAAATAGCAAGATTAACTAGAACCTTATTTATGTAGATAATTGTGATCGAGAAATCGTAATCGAGAAATTCTAATGTATGCATTTCTGATCTTCTCGAATACTGACTTCAAAAATTTAAAATACAAACATATATGCGCCGACAACTTGGTATTATCCATAATAGCTGGACAGATAATCTGTACAATTCTAGCAGCAATCTTAATTCCTATTTTACCATCACCATATTTCAAAAGAAAATCTAAAATAAATAATGTAAAATTTGTCTGATTTAATAGGTCTATCATAATTTTCTGACCAACGTTACGTTTACTACCAGATGGCTGGGTGCGACGCAAATGGAGTCAACTCACGCGAGGAAAGTATATCCTTGCTTCGACGAGCCTGCACTTAAGGCTCGATTCACACTCACTATTGACCGTCCGGCGCATTACAAACCATCTCTTACCAATACTAAATTGCAGACCACAACGAACTTGTAAGATTTTATTTATCCTCATCCTACGAATCTTTCTCATTCTTTTAGGGTAGGCATTAAAGGGTTGTACAACCGTCAACACTGAATAAGTAGGTATTCCATTTATCTTGAAACGTGCAAATACTTCAATTTTATGAGCACATCCATCCATTTTTTAACTCCTTATTTTTTATTTCTCTATGTTCTAGAACTAACGGTTTTATCAGAGAGATTTTTTACGAAACTCCTGTCATGTCTACGTATTTGGTCGCATTCTTAATATCCGAATTCGAATTTGGTGGTTATTACACTAACGGTACCAAAGAATTTGGTGTCTGGTCTAGACCTGACGCTAAAGACCAGACTGATTACGCCTTCGAATTCGGTCTCAAAGTTGTAAGCGCGCTGAGTGAATATTTCGGAATTGACTACTATTCAACTAATTTAAAACTGGATAACGTTGCTATACCCGACTTTCGAACTGGTGCTATGGAGAATTGGGGTTTGATGAAATACAGGTACGTATAGTTCATAGATGTTTCTTCGTATTATTGTAACAATAAATTATTGTTTTCTGATTAGAAAGTAACGCTTCAAAGTGTGCAATATTTATTTTCACTTAAGTGACGCTTAACGAAAATTTGAGGACATCAACGTTTAGGAATTGTTATTTGTTGTCATTGTTTCCTGTTTATTTAAGTCTTTATTTAATATAAACGTTTAACATTTTTAGGGAGGCGTTAATACTGTACGTTCCAGAAGTTTCCACGCCCTTTTACAAGTATCGTATAGCACAGAACATCGCCCATGAAACAGCGCATTTGTGGTTTAGTAACTTAGTAACATGCCATTGGTGGAGCGACACTTGGCTTAACGAGGGCTTTGCAAATTACTTTCAGGACTATATTACAGCTTTGGTAAGTATTGAATTAAAATTTAGAAAGATGTGTAATATTAAGTTATTGTTTTTGCCCAATATGTTTTACCTGATAGGCTTGGTGTTATAGAGTGTACTGCAGTAGCGTTTAATAATACTTTGAGTATTTCAGGTTGAACCAGAAGTAGGTTCAGCGGACATTCTCGTTACAGGCACCTTATATTCTGCATACGATGCAGATGACAATGCAAACGCAGTACCAATCAGCAATATCAATGTCAATTCCCCCTCTGAGATCGACAGCCACTTTGGCACTATCACTTACCAAAAAGGTGGTAGTGTCGTCAGAATGATGCACCATTTGCTTGGAGATGATGGGTTCAAAATCGGTTTACGAAACTACTTAAAGACAAAGTAAGTCCACGCATAGCCTTTGTGAAATATTTTTAAGGGTTGCAAAGGGCTGCGCTACGCATCACGATGCGGCGATGCATTAAAACGAATATGGAGCATAAACTTTATCCTCTACAAGGTAAGGCAATATTTCTTTAAACAAAAAATGAAAACGAAGATGTGGAAAGGGGCGGCGGGCGGCAGCGGGTGACGACGGGCATATTCTTTCTACTAAATAAAGTATACATTTCTTCAAAAAAAAGAGTACAGTAGCGCTGCGTCGTCGCCAGCTCGCCCCGCCTCGGTCAATATTAAGTATAACTTAGCTTCTCCAAAATAAGCTAATATTTCTTTGAAAGGTAGATGTAATAAATATAGAATTTCATTTCTACTGAATAAAGTCGGTATTTGTTTGAATGCAAAGTAAAGGCCGCACGGCCGCGGCGCCGCGCGGTGCAGCGCGACGCAGCGCGGCTTTTCTCTTTTGCTAAAAGAAATGTATACTTTATTTAGTAGACAGTATGTTCTATATTATATTGCATATTATAAAGTGCGCACGTCGCAGCTTAACGTTCCCACTGTCGCCGCCCGCGGCCGCTTACTGCATCTTCTTTACGGATGAGTGGTCCAGCCCCACTGTTTACATTAGGCGAACCCGTGAAAATAAATAAGTAAATAACTATTATGGCAAAAGAACGAATAGACATTTCTTGCCAATTATATTCAAGAAAAAACTAAAATTGATACTTCTTAAAAGTATGTAAATTTAGTTTGTGTACACTGGGTTTGATAAATTTAGGTATTAAGTATATATACTATATGCATTGGTTTTGCGAGGTTTTGCGATTGTGAGTGTAACCTCGCCAATGCTTTCGCAGTTTAGCGAGAAATTGTATTGTTTTCTTGTATACCTTTTGAATGAAATAAGTGAAAAAAAAAGAAAATAGTTATGGGTGGTACCACGAATTGAATATCGTTATTCTTTGACCCGATTTGGATTCCCGTTAGAACCAATTTTAGAAGTGGACTTTTGTCTGTTCTGTTGTCAGACAACCATCTGCTCTCAAACTAGGAAACTCCCTGTACTCATTATGAGTACCAGAGCAACAGAATGCAAAGAGGGGAACTGCAAGAACACCCAGACCAGAAACAATTAAAAAAAAAATCATTTCCCAAATTGATTCTACCGGAAATTGAACCCGGAACCATGAGCTACGTAATTCACTCCGCAGCACTACGAAGTAAACCTAAGCTAAAACCACTTTAGAAAAGTCCATTTCCGAAATTTATCCTATCGGAACCAGGACCAGAAACCTTTTCGTGCAGTGCCGACAGTGCAAACCGTTAGGCCACCGAGGTCGTTTTATTTGTACTTATTATACTTATATATTATTTGCTTGTGAAATCTACAAATTGCTTAAACAAACCAACAAACCAACCGACATCGTTCGGCGTCGATCGGTTAGTTTGGCAACATTCGTCAGATACCTACTAAATTTCATAATGATGCCTACCCTAGCAATTTTACATTTCACAGTCAATTCTCTTCTGGATATCCAAATGACATGTACACAGCGCTGGAACAGAGTGTAAACAGCACTGGTGCTTTAGCTGGATATCCTGGGTTCACCATTACCGACATTATGAGGTCATGGATTGAGCAGGCTGGTCACCCTCTTTTGTATGTGAGCATAGATTACAACAACGGAACCGTTACATTAACACAGGTACAAAACCTAATGTTCCTGTCGACTGTATTTTGTTTTCGTGTAATGTGGTACTTATTCGAATATTATTCTTAAGCGTACAAATTATATTAAAAACAGTTACGAATAAAAATCAGTGCTTCTAACACGAGTTTACAGTGACAGTTGTCGCTAGAGACCACGTAAATTACTTTAATTGTACGCGGTCGCTCGCGATAACTGTCACTATCATCTTATGATAGAGGCACTGGGTTTACGCAATAATAACGTTACTATAGATAAGACCATGTCGGTTTCACGGTCACAATTGGTCACAGTATAGTATACACAAAATCTGTGCTTTGTTCCAGGAACGATTCTATACTCATCCTGGGGGTGAATCTAACGAAATTTACAAAATTCCTATAACATATACAACCGGAGTATCCCCAAATTTATATAACCAAAAAATAAAAATATTAAAAAATAAAAATATAACCAAACCATCCTTTATAATGGCAGATAAAACGCATTCCTTCGTTATCCCAAATTTGGGTCATAACTGGGTGATTTTCAATGTTCAAGAATCAGGTACAACTATTACTTATCTCTTCACATAATGCTATAGAAATCTGTAGTACAAATTATAAGTATTATTATAGATGTTTGTCCTTTTAACAGGATTTTATCGAGTTAATTACGATGATATGACATGGGTTCACATCATCAGCGCTTTAAGTGGAATAGATCGAAACAATATTTCTCCTCTTAACCGTGCCAAGGTAAGTAATAAATATTTACAAGATTTCGTTTTTACCGGCTAGTAGGTAACCTTTGAATCAGATTCGCTGAATTCATTATTCAGCGAATCTTAATCAAAAGTTTTTGTCCCTTTCTCCCTCTTTACTTCCCTCAAGCTGATATTCCCATATTTCTTCTCGTCCAATACGTCTTTGATTTTAGTAAAAGATACTTATAATATTCTAATGCGTGACAATTTTTTTATTTCAGATTATTAACGATCTTTTCCCATTATTTTTCGCTGATAAAGTTAAGTTTAATCTCGTGTTCGACGTTTTGGATACTATGACGGAGGAGTCTGACTATTCTGTATGGTTAGCAGTCATTCGAGGTCTCGGCAAACTTCGTAGCAGATTCGTTGGCACCAGTACTATAAGTAATATTGACGTGAGTTTTTTTTTTTTATTTATTTGGAAAGTTATGATTTAAAAGTACAATAAAAGCTTAAATACTAGAAACTAAAACTAGGACTAAATTATATAAATGAATTTAGATCGCCGCGGCAAGGTGCCCAAGATGGTAGCGTTCGTCCTTTGTATAGCTATGCTAACACTTTGGGCAAGATGTTAAATCTTGGGTTTCCTAGACAATCTATTAATTTTTTTCATAAAATTTTGTGAGGGTACCGAGATCCCACGGGCCAAGAGCTTCGACTTCAAAGGGTGCAAATAGGTATTATTTCACCTTTTTAAGATCATGATATTGCCTGGAATAACACGCGAATATATTAAACCTAGACTTATTACGTTTTTAATTTGCATTATGTAGCGATTTACATTTTTTTATGATACCAAGTGACGAGATGAATATGTCATGCGCCAGGTGTAAAGCCACACGCCTGTCCATAACACCTTAATAACAGTTGCAGTGCCTCTCAGAGCTTTATGTAGCAAAGATCTGAGGGGCACTCTCACTGCGCTCGTCACCTTTAGACTTAAGTTGACAAGTCCC